ATCTGATCATGGAGGACGGCGTCTGCAAGGGTGTTGTCGCATACAACCAGGAAGACGGAACCATCCACCGATTCATCGCAAAGAACACCGTCTTGGCCACTGGTGGTTACGGACGTGCCTACTTCAGCTGCACATCCGCCCACACCTGCACTGGTGACGGTATGGCTATGGTTGCTCGCGCAGGTCTTCCCAATCAGGATCTAGAATTCGTCCAGTTCCACCCCACTGGTATCTACGGCGCTGGCTGCTTGATCACTGAAGGATCCCGTGGAGAGGGTGGTTACCTTCTCAACTCCGAGGGTGAACGGTTCATGGAGCGTTACGCACCCACTGCCAAGGATCTTGCCTCCCGCGATGTCGTATCCCGATCTATGACCCTGGAAATCCGTGAGGGCCGTGGTGTCGGACCGGAGAAGGACCACATCTACCTTCAGCTCAGCCATCTGCCCGCCGAGGTCCTTCACGAGCGTCTACCTGGTATCTCTGAGACTGCCGCCATTTTTGCTGGTGTCGATGTCACCAAGCAGCCCATCCCTGTTCTTCCTACCGTGCACTACAACATGGGTGGTATCCCCACCAAGTACACTGGTGAGGTCATCACCCAAGACGCTCAGGGTAACGACCAGGTCGTCCCAGGTCTGTTCGCTTGCGGAGAGGCTGCCTCTGTCTCTGTCCACGGAGCCAACCGTCTCGGTGCCAACTCCCTACTCGACCTTATCGTTTTCGGTCGTGCTGTTTCTCACACCATCCGCGACAACTTCAGCCCCGGCCAGAAGGCTGACCCCGTCTCCGCCGATGCCGGTGCCGATTCCATCTCCGTCCTCGACCAGATCCGCACATCTGACGGCGCCAAGTCGACTGCCGAGGTCCGTCTCCAGATGCAGAAGGTCATGCAGACCGATGTCGCCGTCTTCCGAACCCAAGAGTCGCTCGACGAGGGTGTCAAGAAGATCCACGACGTCGACGCCGACTTCGCCAACGTTGGTATCAAGGACCGCAGCATGATTTGGAACTCCGACCTTGTCGAGACCCTTGAGCTACGCAACCTCCTCACCTGCGCCGTACAGACTGCCGAATCCGCCGCCAACCGTAAAGAGTCACGAGGTGCTCACGCCCGTGAGGACTTCCCCGACCGTGACGATGACCAGTGGATGAAGCACACATTGTCGTGGCAGAAGAAGCCACACGGCGAGACTCAATTAGGTTACAGGAAGGTTGTTGGTACCACTTTGGACGAGGCTGAGTGCAAGGCTGTACCACCATTCAAGCGTACATACTAGAGGATTGGTAATTTGGAAAGGAAATGAGGGATGTATTTTGTATTCTATGTACATCGGATGATGGATTGCATGTTTTAGCATGTTTAAGAGCGAAAGCCGTTTAGGATTGAGAATCGAATCATTCAAGTTCATATTGGTCTATTTTGTCCATTGTATCAACAAGTGTAAGCGCTCGCTGGTGTTGTGCTCCGAAACACAGCTGTCGGTGGATGATGTGTCTGTCCTGGTGTATGGAGGACTCCTTCCCTGCCTGACTGTATTGTTTGGTGGGGGCTGTCGTTCTCGGCAAGTGCGATACTCACCCGCACAGCACAACATCAGCTTTTCGACCACAACACGAGCATCGGCACCTTCAAGGCCGGGCAATGAATACGGTCTCAACCAAACAGGGAACAGGGATTTCGCTTCGACGTTCGTGCACCCACACTCATCGCGAACTGAACATGGCTCCTGCCGTGTATAGGCAAGGCTGGCTTCTAGCCTGGTCTATCGTTACCCGAGGGCTGAAGTGGCTGAAGTGGCTGTCACCACGCCAGATGGGGATCCGCTCATGGCAATAACAAGACTTTCAGACTTTCTCGCTCTCTGGCACATCACCATGGTGGAGCCTGTGTCAGAAACCGTGTTTTTACACGTTGTGATATCCAAGGCGGAATGCGCGAAGAATGCTTGCACATAGGCACACCTATTTTGGTCACGCATTGTCCAGGGAGGCCGCAGCTAGGCCCTCAGCTCTCTGCAAGAACCCATTTCACGCACGTTCATCAGCCCCCATCTGCGCCGGAGGTCTATCGCAGCCGCCACCAAGCCGAGTTCAGGCGGCACAATGGCTCTAAGTCTGCCATGCTTCAGCCTTCTCGATAAGAAATTTATGGGGGGCTTGAACTTATTAGAGGCTACTTCCCAGCCTTCTCCGATGAAATTGTTACTCGAGTTCCATGTCAAAAGGCGAACACTGTTTCTCTCTCCCATTTTATTCTCCTCGCTGAATGCGGCACCGTTATTATAATATCAATACTTTGACCTCGTGGAATCTGGCATACACTTCTAGGCAAGGAATCGAAGGCTTTTGAGCTATTATGGATCCATTCCAAGACCACCACATAGCCTCTGTTACTTCTGGGTCAGCAGGGCGCCGATTATCGTTGTCCCAGACATCTCGCTCTTGGTCAACTTCATCATCGACAGGATCGTATCTGCCAGATGATGATCAAGACTTTGAATCCGAAAGATCGCCCTGTTCTTTCGGTGCAGAGGCGTTCGATGGAGGAACTGAACTGACGTACTATCCGTAAGTGCTATGTTCATACCATCATCATCTTCCGGTGGAGCTTACAGGCAGACAGATTATACCGAACAGGCAATCCAGACACTCAGACCTTGCTCAAAATCCAGAATGCCAGGTCTTCATTTTCGTCAGTCACGTCTTCATCCTCTTCAGAAGCGGACGATGATCGGCCCACCCAAAGAATGCACCAGATCAACGTGGTCGTCAAAGCTTTCTGGAAACTACCAGTCATTCGTGACATAACCTGGCCGTTTCAGTGGCTCAGCCGCCGATTCAAAGACGTCTCTTCGAACAGCCGGTTTCACGGTTGGCGTATGGGTGTTCTATTAGGCTCCTTTGCTTCGTCGCTTGTTCTTTGCTGCAACATAGGCATCCTGGTGTTCGGCTCACTACGGCACGGCTCTGCGGACAACTTTACCGTGCTGTCAACTGGAAAGGCCAAAGACATGTCTTGGTGGTCTAGCGCTATCCACATCGTGATCAATGCGCTCAGTACAGTTCTTCTAGCTGCTTCTAACTATACCATGCAGGTACTGAGCTCGCCAACAAGAAGCGATATTGATCGAGCTCACTCTGCACGCCATTGGCTTGATATCGGGATTCTTAGCGTTCATAACTTCAGTTATATCCCAACCCGACGGAAGCTTCTGTGCATCATCATGGTAATGTCCTCTATACCTATACACTTATTGTAGGTTTATATCAACTTTTCATCGGATCAGTTTGATGGCTTACCAGTCTCAGCTACAACTCTGCAGTCTTTTACATCGGAGCAGACAATAAGTACAACATCTCCCTGCTACCAACAGACTCTATTGAGTACGAGAGTCTATCACTTCAGGCTGATACAGCCACCAACGACGATCGCAATGTAACACTCGACAATAGCAGAATAGACAGTGCATACCATGTGGACACCAGTTTCCATGAATACGGAGACTTGTACCTTGCGATCGACGGCTACTTTCATGGAAATAAGTCGGAGCTTCCAGAACTGGGTGAGAATGGCTGGCCGTTTAGCGGTCCAGAAGTACTTTGGAATCCAAACGCATCCTGGCCCTTTGAAATAGAACACGATTTATACCTCAACCGAAGTATCATCAATGGCACTTGGACGTATGTCAGGATTAATTCGACAATCACCGCCTCTACGGAAGACGGCAACCAGATTTGGGCTCGTTACACTCACGGATTTGCAGAGTATCACGTCAAAACATCCAGTCGCATCGAGCTAAGTCTCACCTTCATGGCGATTGTGATCGTCTGTAACGTCGTGAAGCTGTTTACGATGTTGTGGGTGGTATTCATGGAAAACCTGGACTATATTGTTACTGTCGGAGATGGAGCAGCCTCATTTCTGGCGTACCCCGACTTAACGACCAGGGGCATGTGTGTATCAACCAGACACGAAGTCATCGCCAAAGTTGGGGCTGTCACAGACATTTCAAAAGAGGATCAAGATCTACTTGGGATTATAATTCGTAAATGTGGCAATCTTTGGACCAAACGACGCAGTCAATACTCCACTGCCCTCGACAGAGACCGAGTATATACCTCGTATGCCATGTAAGTTCACCTGGAACTGTTAACTAAAAAAGCGCGAGGTTAACGTCTTACTAGCTATGCAATTGGCTGTGCACTCTTCTACGGTCTAGTGATACTACTCTCGACTCTAGGACTCACAAGTCCAAGATGGGGATCCGCAAGCCTTACCGCGTTCCGCCAAACTGAAACGTCCGCCCAGGCCACACTTTTGAACGCGTGGCTTGCCAATATCGCCCAATTGGTGCTGTCCTACTTTTATCTCGCAATTAATAGCGAATGTACTGCTATGGCTGGAGCTGCGGAGTGGAATAACTTGGCAGTCTCGCGCAAAGGCCTACGTGTAACTCGTCCTGTCGGGGACCAACGCGAAAAGTACATCCTCCAGCTACCATATCGCTGGTCCCTCCCTCTAGCTGCAGTGAGTGGTGGTCTACATTGGCTATTATCCCAGAGCATCTTTATCGTGCGTATCGACGCTTATGACCGAGAGGGAAAGATCATGCAGGCTAATTCTCAGTCTGCAATCGGGTTCTCGGCAATAAGCTTTATAACTTTGATTCTCTGCTTTTACGTCCTTGTAGGATCCGTAGCATGGATAGGGCGAAGACAGATGAGGGTTCGAATACCCTTTGCGGCATCCTGTAGTCTAGTCATGAGTGCGGCATGTCATCCACCACCAGACGACGTCGATCCTCACTTGCGACCTGTTCAGTGGGGCGTCACGGAGGGTAACATGTTTGAAGGGGGAAATCATTGTTCGCTTTCATCGAAACCTGTAACGAAACCGAAGGTTGGAGAGAAATATCTTTGAGTAATTAGCTATAAAAAGTTCAATTTGATCATGAAGTCATGATGAACTTCGGGCGCTTGCAACCAAATTACAAGACTTAACGTCGCGCGAAGCTAAACCAGCCCCTCTGCGGCCCAGTGACAACCGGCGCGGTCTCCACATCCTCCGCCGCTAACTCGCTCACCGACTGCTGCTCCGATACCATCGAGTTCGTAGAAGCGAACGAAGACGTCTGCACCATCATCGGACTCTTGCCAGGCCGCCACATGATCGGTAGATCCTTGAGCTTATGACCCTTCTCCATGAGCGGAATTTCGCTTTCCAGATCAGTCCAATTGCGGTGGCCTTCCCCCTCATAGGCCCGGCGCTGAAGCTGCCATACTCCATCTTGTGTCCAGCGTGCGATGCGAGGACCGAGTGCGCGGCGGAAGCGAGTGAGGTAGACGAGGAATTTGAGGAGTGTGATGTCGATGATTGCGACGAGAACGGAGAAGGCTATGATGAACGAGAGACCGAAGACGTTGATGTTACTGGTATGAGTTAGTAAATGTTGTCAAACGCTTTGCAGTGGAGCAAGGATACTCACACAAATCCACCAGTCTTCTTCATCTTCTGCGCCCCACAAAGCGTCCACTCGCCCTCAGTCTTCGGCTCTATGCGGTATCCATCTGCCGAAGGATCGCCTTCTTCGGGCCCTATAGCATGACGCGATACCATGACTTGCAAAGCGCCCCAAGTCTCTTGTTCCCAGCCAAGTACTTCCTGTGTCCAGAAGTCGTCCGGTATGTCTTTAACTGTGAATTCGTTCAAAGATATCATTGTGTTGACCTTGCAAGATAAAACGTCCGAGGTTGGGTGCAACCACGTTGACCTGATCAACAGCTCTAATATCGCCCGCTGCACCTCGTTTGCTTCCGAAAAATCCTGCTCGATATGGAGGGGATGGGGTACACCTTCCATTGGTGTACACCAATCGTCTTTGCCATCCCTTGCATGGCAGTATTGCAACTGTGGGCTGTTAGTGGATGTTGCTGTGTGAAAATAAGCTCTTGACTCACGTTCTGGGTACATGCAACCGCCTTGCTAGGATGATCAGCCTGATAGCGTATAGATGTCTCGCCAGTAGAGAAGTCAACCTTTTCGTATTCTTTATGTGAAGAATAGAGCGGGTCGTTGATCGGCTTTTCGAAAGAGAGGGAACCACCAAAGAACTGCTTCAAGATGATATCGCTTTCCGCTTCTTCGGGGTTGACAGGTTCAATTCCCCTCCTGGGAATCCAACTTGATAGGGCAATGGTTTCCTTCTTTCTAAACCACTGCAGGCCGCTTTTTGCTTAAATCAGCTGAACCCTTAACAGAACCCATCATCATATTGACTTACCGAGGCACCCATGGGTTCCCACTAGAATTCGACGCAATAAGGTGTACTATGTAGCTCTCTCCAGTCTCGAGGGGTGTCCTTGGCCCGTAGAAAAAGACGGCAACCTGTTCTCCTGGCAGGATCTCTCGATAATCGGGTTTCCACATAGGCCTCTCTTCCAGATCAACGACATCGTAGTATCCTTCTACCGGTAGAACAGTACACTCAGTCTTCTTGCGAAAGGATACACGATCTTTAGCAGCGAGATTCAGTCCGAAAGTTTTGCTGACATCAATGAGGCCGGAGTCGATACGAACGGCGTCCTTGGTATCGCACATGGTGTCATTGAAGGGACAAGGAACGTTTTCAACGTTCAACGGTATGTTGGGTTGCGTGAATACATTGCAGGCTGGAGGTAGTGGGCCATCACGGTAGCATTCCCGAGTGTATGCAGAAGCAGCTCTGTCAATCAGCTGTCCGTAAGGCCGCCATACTGTTCCAGTGACGTTGACTTGTCCGCAACTCGGAGAATCTACCATGACTGTAACCGTTCCAGTGTCGACAATGAGAGAGGAGAATATGGAGGCGGTAATCGTTATCGCTGCGAAAAGCATGGCGATGAGTACCAACAATATTGACCGTAGGAAGGGTCGATCGGCCTTTTTCCTCCAAGCCCAATATAGCTTTAGTGCCTCAGCAATGACTGAGCTTGGAGTCGGAAGCGTACGGAGCAGCGCTTGTTGTTGCCGGAACAAAGCATCTGTTGGATGGCCATTGGCTCGAATTTGATGGATCGCAAATGCAATCAGATGCCAAAGATGTGCCGTACCTGATCTTATTAGGGATACGTCGAATCATACCCTAGTTGGTCATACCAAGGGTTGATAATATAGCTAGTAGCGCAACGACAAGATTGCCAGTTTGCGTGTCAGTCGTTATCGTTCTTCCGAGGATGGGCCCATCATCCTGGTTAGTCCTAGATGCGAACTTGTCAGTAAAGGTTTCCGAGCTATGATACGGAACTTCAACGAGTTGAACTTACCATGCGCCAGTTCTCACAAATTTCGCATCTAGCTCAAGAGACGTCCCGTATCCAAAAAGATCCATGATCAAAATGAAAAGTGAAGCGAACCGCTGTGTTGAAGGAGGCTACTGCGATACATTGCATCTACTAAATACCGTGCCATTCTGCTACGAAAAGCATCGGATCTACTGCAATGTACAATCTGAAGGAGGCACAGTTGCTCGACGATGCTTGGCAAAGCGATGCGGCGAATAACGAATACCGAGGAAACGACGACCATCGTTCCTGGCGCCTCGAGACAAGCACTCGCGATCTTCATACCGTAAAGAGTATCTCTTGAGCCGTTTTTAGTGCGCAGGACGTGCTCGGCGTCAATAACGTGGCAATGTGGGTATGGTCAGCGCGTAGGCGACCGCAAGCGCGATGCCGGCGCGTACGTACAGATAGAACAGGTCCGACATCCCGAGGATGCTGGAGCAACTGTCGTCTCTTGAGCTTATAGCACCGATGAAGATGTGCTGATGCAGAGGATCTGGTTGCGACCGCGCCACGTAGAACGGCACCCGGATCTACCTGGGTAAGGTGTGAAGCGCCATCACGAAGTCCACCAAAGGGATCGTGGCAGCGACGTCGCGTGGCCACTTGGAAGGCGGAAGCGTCCATCACCAAAAGAAGCGACAGCTGTGACGCAGTGCTCAGCTCTGCGGTGTTGCTGAAGACGTCGGAAGATGTTAGGTTGTAGATGAGTCCAAGCAGCCGCCTGTGCATGAACCCTTCGGGGTCAGAAATGTCCCGCGCTCGGCCGTTCTACATGGGCCGGTAACACACATTGAACTCCAAAGTATAGCCCTTGGCTACTCTTCTTCTTTTGAGAAATTCTTCGCTGTCTTCTAGAACGTGGTATTCTTAGCACAGTGCATTGCGCATGGGAGTTTAGTTGTCGCACATGGACCAACACGTGACCAGTTTGATCTGCGAAAAAGTGAAGCATGGGTTGACCGGCTTCGCTTGCATTTGCCGCACTGACTTGGCCAAGACACTACCAAAATCTGCCGTGTGATCAACGTCCAGCATCGGGGATGTCAGGCAGGCGGCCTGGTAGGCGAGTATTCTACGTGCAACCTGCAACGCTTTTCGCCAGCTTGGCAGAGTGGCGGTGCATAAATGCTTCGAATGGCTGTGGGGCCATTGTCTACAGGCGCCGACATGTGCTCGCCGTGTAACGCTGAAGTGAATTCGTCGCTGGCAGCGCAGCAAGTGTGAAATGCTGTGCGTTGGATCATGGCAGCCATAGCCGCACGTGCTATTCTTCACAGATATCGAATGCAAACATGGATAAGATGCAAAAGTTGGTATGTACAATGACTAGATTCGTCTATGTAATACACAGGCTTAGAAGCCCACCGGTGTGGCTGCGCATGGGATCTTTCATAGCAGGATCACTTCGTACACATCCATTACCCAATGTCCTTCTTCACCCCAGCCGGTCAATGCGATGAATAAAAGTATTGACAGCGAAATTAAGATCCGACACACACTCCCCACTTGATGACAAAAAAAGAGACCAGTCCGTGCTGAAGCAGGTACATTGGATTATTATGGGGCAGCTTGAAGAGCCCAAAGATGAGACAGAAATGCCGCGGTAACTTTTCGAAGAGGTACCAACAATGAGGGGTATCATGCAATCGCTATGCTCTCATGTAATGCGCTCTTGCTTGCTCTAGAAGCGAAGCTTGGCTTCCCGGGAGTGAAGCTGGAAGCGCTTGTCGAGGGTGATGTCCTTAGCGATGACAGCAGCGGCGGCGCGGGCAGCTGGGCTACCGTTCAGACCGCTGTGGTCTGGCACGACGTAGTTCTTGGTAAGACGCTTGGCAACGTTGCCATCAACACCGTTGCTGAGGAGGAGGTTTGCGCTTCCGGCAGTGTTACCCTTGACATCACCCTGGCGGGCAGTCTGGAGGAGCTTGGCCTTGAGGGCAGCGGGGTTCTGACCAAGTCCGGCGACATCCTGGGTCATGAGGGTGGCCATGACACCAGTGACGTGAGGGCAAGCCATGGAAGTACCAGAGAGGAAGTTGATGACAGCGTCGCCAGTGGCCCAGGAGCTGAGAATCTGCTCACCGGGAGCGTAGATGTCTACGCATTGACCGATGTTGGAGAAGGTAGAGATCTCGTTGTCGATGTTGACGGAGCCGACAGTGACGACGTTGGAGTTCTTGCCACCAAGGTGAGCGGGGGTGCTACCGCAAGCGTCGATACCGTCATTACCAGCGGCAACCGAAACGTGAATACCAGCAGCTGAAGCACCTTGAATAATCTCATCGACTGAACCAGCGGTACCCTGAAGACCCCAAGACATGCTCATGATAGAACCGACGAAGCCTGGCTGTGCACTGCGCTTCTTGTGGTTGGTGATGACCCAATCCATACCCTTGATGGTGTCGGAAGATGCACCAGAGCCATCGTCTCCAAGGACCTTGACTTCGATGATGTTGGCGCCTTGAGCAACACCGAACTTAGCGCCACCGGCGGTACCGGCAACGTGAGTGCCGTGACCATCACCGTCAACGAAAGAACCAGTGGCGGTGAAACCTTCAGAAGCGCGTCCAGTAAACACAGCGTGGGAAGTGCGTACGCCAGTGTCGATAACGTAGATGTCGACTCCGGCACCGAGGGCTGAATCATCGAAAGAGTAGACAAAGTCCTGGTCTTGAGGGGATCCCTTAGCGCCGGCCGCGCTCGAGACTCGCTGCAGACCCCAGGGAGCGCCTTGCTGCTCTGCGAAAGACTTGACTTCGGCCTTCTCTTCTACAATGTTCACCTCAGTCATGCCCTGGAAAATCTTGGCGTGCTCGTCGCACATCTTCACGATGAAGATCTTAGGGTCCTCGCATTCGGATTCGTATACTAGTGATTCGTTCCTGTTGAGAGATAGGGCATCCAGGTATTCATCGACGGGCCTAGGGATAGTCTCATTACGCCAGAAGGTAATGATGTACTCCTTGACATCCCCGGAATGGTTCGCCGGTAGAGAGTATTTGCTGATGTAGCCGGGGTTGCTGGGTCCAGGAGCTGCAAAGACAGAAGCGCTGGCGGCCAGAAGACCGGCGGCGATAGCGAAGAAAGACTTCATGTTGATTACGGTAAGGATCCGGTCCGGTAAAAAGTTGTTGGAGGAGTAGAAACGAAGGTGGGGCGAGCCTGGTAGTCACTGGCAATGAATGTGGAAGGAACGCTACGAGGTGCAAGTCAGTGACAGGCCTGCTGTGAACAAACGACTAGTGAAGCGGTGGACCAGCGACCGTCTTTGTCGGTTTATAACCGTGAACATAAGCGGTGTTGGCTGCGCCTTTTGAGACAAGCATACAAAAGGGCTATAATAGCGCTGTGTGGGGTCGAGGTATACGGCAGATTGGGGTAGGGCAGGCACACAATGTGCGGCAGCCTTGGGTTGGCAAAAGCTAGGATACTCACATCAACGTGCAGGTGCGACGGAGTCGTGTATCAGGCAGGACGTGTCTGAGGAGGAAGGCGTATCGGCCAAGACGTGCCAGCACGCGAAAAGAAGAAAGGGAGGGTGGTGAAGGGAAGCAAAGTGAGTGAGGGACGAAAAAAATGAGTGTTGAAGAGAGAGACAGAGCACTCCTAATGAATGGAAAGTGAATGTGGGGTTGTAGGAGCAAAGAAGGACCAAGACCGTTGGGAAGGAGTGATGGGAACCTGCCCAGGCGGACGAGACGGCCTCATGTACTCGCTCCGCAAGTGTCCAGGCCATAATCACCAAGCTCATCGTTGGAGCCTCCGCATGTGAAACGGCTTGGCTGTGGGCTTGTTCCCGCGAGCTACCAGGCCCAATTCACTACTGCGCGCCGGTAGCCAAGCCGCGACGGTCTGCATCAGATCGCTAACCAGGGGTAGAGCGGGCCCTAGGGACCCTCGACGCACCATTGGGGCGCCTCGGGAGATTGTTCGTGGTAGAGCGACGACTGGCCAATAGCCAACATTGTATTGCACGGCCAACATTCATTTATTTGGGCGCACCAATCCGTTGTTGGTCGCACAATACCGTTCCCGGGCTTTCGAGTTGCTGAAATGGGCGATGCGGAAATTGAATGCAAACACTCGCCCCTGCCGCGTTGGTAGTTTGACTGACACAGAGGGAAGGAGCAGCCTTAGCCGTCTCGAGCTTGATTGGCTGTCCGCTTCTGAAACAGCGTGGGCCTGCGTCACAACCCAAACCAGGCAAGCGCCCAGGGCCAATCCCCACATGATGCATGAACCTGCACTCAACGCAAGAAAATCCAGACAACAGTCCGCACGGCCAAGGGGCCCGTCTGCGCGTCCAAAGATCATGCACGACCGCCAGCAGAGCCGTGGCGTCCTATGAACGCGTCAATGCCTGAGCCACTCGGCACCGCAACGGCTTTTCCTCTCTCTGCATCCAGTCGCCACCGTCGAGAGTGCATAGTTTGACGCGACACAATGGTCTCTCTCCGCAATGTGTCAAGCCGTCCACCATCCGGAAACTAAACACCCAGAGCCACATATCCGAATGGGGCGTTTCAATGTTTATTAAGGGGACTCGTACGAACTGATGGCGTTACACACCCGGTGACTGGGAACAGACGACTCTTCACACTGCACATTGTACCGCGTCTGTGTGCATAACTAATTCCCGTGCAGTAGCCACACACCCCGAGTACTGGCAGAAGCGTCTTCACGACGTGCGCCCTTGCCGTAGTGCCTTGAAC